GAACTGTTTTGGTTGAGTGAACAATAATGGCAACTCTTATGAAATAGGTATTGATTGTTCTTGCCAGGTGCCATGATGGCCAGAGTAGCAGCGGTGGCGGGTCAAGGCACGTGAAGCACTACACTCTCCGGTACTTGGTGAAGCTCCCGCAAGTCTCACACGTAGCCGCATGTTGTTGTTGTTATAGATTCAGCTACTAGGAACAAGTTCCAAGTAGCACGGGCTATGGTGAGCCCGTAACTTACGTGGCACAGCAGCGGGGCAAGTAGCACGGGCTATGGTTAGCTTCATGGACGGGAGATGTCTCCCGTCACGCAGCCGGAATTATTTCTCACTGAAAAGAAGCCGAGTTAGTGACGTGTGAGAGTGGAGGCTTGGTGCAGCAGCACCCTGGCGGCTCCTGTGTCCTCATGACCCTCACCCTCCTCACACTGGTCAACCTCTCATTGGTATCGATTTGAAAGTTAGAAACAACTAGAATAACCCGACCTTAATGAGCGTACCATGTCAGGCAGCCGCGTCCAACAGCCTGGTTGATCAGTCCAGCAACCAGGAGGCCTGGTCGACGACCGGGCCGCGGGGACGCTAAGCCCCGGAAGCACCTCAAGGTAGGCCTGTACAGCCTGCCTGAGGTGCTACAAGTTAGTACTGTTAACCTTATCTCACTACTGCCACATACTCCAGATGTACAGGAACGTCAGAGGATATAGGAGTTTAGACCTATTGTCTTATGTATGACCCTCTGTCCTGCGTGACAGTGAATACTAGCATTAACCTCAATTTAGTAAGACTATCAAAATCCTCAGATTAGGCAAAATTGTAATTAATTTTGTCAATAAAGATGTTAATAATAATAAAGGATATAACCATATAGAGTACCTATAGCTTACTTGCTTCATCTACTCACTATACAACTAATATTAATATACGGACTATATTATATTTCATTATATTTGAAATTCGAGTTCTCTGTACAGAAATGTTATGGCCTTAACTAATCAACACGATTGTGTGTGGTGTTTGGTAGATCTTTTTCTCTTGTAAAAGTTGGGAACGTATTCCTTGTGGGTTGTGTCAGTAGTTGTAGGTGTTAGTCCTTGTTCTGAGGCGCGGGAGAGTTAAGATGCTTCTTGTTGTATATGTGATCCCTGTATATGTGTTGTATATGTGATCCCTGTATATGTGTTGTATATGTGATCCCTGTATATGTGATTCCTGTATATGTGATCCCTGTATATGTGTTGTATATGTGATCCCTGTATATGTGTTGTATATGTGATTCCTGTATATGTGATCCCTGTATATGTGTTGTATATGTGATCCCTGTATATGTGTTGTATATGTGATCCCTGTATATGTGTTGTATATGTGATCCCTGTATATGTGTTGTATATGTGATCCCTGTATATGTGTTGTATATGTGATCCCTGTATATGTGTTGTATATGTGATCCCTGTATATGTGATCCCTGTATATGTGTTGTATATGTGATCCCTGTATATGTGATCCCTGTATATGTGTTGTATATGTGATCCCTGTATATGTGATCCCTGTATATGTGTTGTATATGTGATCCCTGTATATGTGTTGTATATGTGATCCCTGTATATGTGTTGTATATGTGATCCCTGTATATGTGATCCCTGTATATGTGTTGTATATGTGATCCCTGTATATGTGTTGTATATGTGATCCCTGTATATGTGTTGTATATGTGATTCCTGTATATGTGATCCCTGTATATGTGTTGTATATGTGATCCCTGTATATGTGTTGTATATGTGATCCCTGTATATGTGTTGTATATATGATCCCTGTATATGTGATCCCTGTATATGTGTTGTATATATGATCCCTGTATATGTGTTGTATATGTGATCCCTGTATATGTGTCGTATATGTGATCCCTGTATATGTGTCGTATATGTGATCCCTGTATATGTGTTGTATATGTGATTCCTGTATATGTGTTGTATATGTGATCCCTGTATATGTGTTGTATATGTGATCCCTGTATATGTGATCCCTGTATATGTGTTGTATATGTGTTGTATATGTGATCCCTGTATATGTGATCCCTGTATATGTGTTGTATATGTGATCCCTGTATATGTGTTGTATATGTGATCCCTGTATATGTGTTGTATATGTGATCCCTGTATATGTGTTGTATATGTGATCCCTGTATATGTGATTCCTGTATATGTGATCCCTGTATATGTGTTGTATATGTGATCCCTGTATATGTGTTGTATATGTGATTCCTGTATATGTGATCCCTGTATATGTGTTGTATATGTGATCCCTGTATATGTGTTGTATATGTGATCCCTGTATATGTGTTGTATATGTGATCCCTGTATATGTGTTGTATATGTGATCCCTGTATATGTGTTGTATATGTGATCCCTGTATATGTGTTGTATATGTGATCCCTGTATATGTGATCCCTGTATATGTGTTGTATATGTGATCCCTGTATATGTGATCCCTGTATATGTGTTGTATATGTGATCCCTGTATATGTGTTGTATATGTGATCCCTGTATATGTGATCCCTGTATATGTGTTGTATATGTGATCCCTGTATATGTGTTGTATATGTGATCCCTGTATATGTGTTGTATATGTGATCCCTGTATATGTGATCCCTGTATATGTGTTGTATATGTGATCCCTGTATATGTGTTGTATATGTGATCCCTGTATATGTGATTCCTGTATATGTGATCCCTGTATATGTGTTGTATATGTGATCCCTGTATATGTGTTGTATATGTGATTCCTGTATATGTGTTGTATATGTGATCCCTGTATATGTGATCCCTGTATATGTGTTGTATATATGATCCCTGTATATGTGTTGTATATGTGATCCCTGTATATGTGTCGTATATGTGATCCCTGTATATGTGTCGTATATGTGATCCCTGTATATGTGTTGTATATGTGATTCCTGTATATGTGTTGTATATGTGATCCCTGTATATGTGTTGTATATGTGATCCCTGTATATGTGATCCCTGTATATGTGTTGTATATGTGTTGTATATGTGATCCCTGTATATGTGATCCCTGTATATGTGTTGTATATGTGATCCCTGTATATGTGTTGTATATGTGATCCCTGTATATGTGTCGTATATGTGATCCCTGTATATGTGTCGTATATGTGATCCCTGTATATGTGTCGTATATGTGATCCCTGTATATGTGTCGTATATGTGATCCCTGTATATGTGTTGTATATGTGATCCCTGTATATGTGTTGTATATATGATCCCTGTATATGTGTTGTATATGTGATCCCTGCAGCACCGAGCTACAATCTCGTGTACATGGTGGTAGGCCTCACAGCCTTCCATTACCTACATTCTTCCATCCCTTCCCCCAGGGACCCCCAGCTCAACACCTGTGGCTCAGCTCATCTGTCAACTCATGTGGCTGACAGGTGTCTTGTAGAGCGAGACAACTAACTCTTGCTCTAACGTCATCCACTACGGCGTTAGTGGATGACGTTGGTGATTAAACAGCTTTTTGATAACTTAACTTACTCGGCAACACAGCTTTTGACGAGTCACTTATGGTGGAGCCGAGGCCGGACCCATCACAGTGGCCACGCTCGCCACAGTCTATCACACATTCCTATCTTCCTCCGCACTAAAATTTAATGATCTGGCAACTCAGTTATACCTTTCGCTGTCAATGAACAAATTTTCACATGGAGATTTGATGGGATGGAAGAAATGTTAGCGTGAAGGGTGGAGGGGACTATGGAGGGAAAGCGCCAAGCAAAAACGACTCTATAGCACTGGGAAGGGGTCAGGATAAGGATGTGAGATGGGACGGGGAGTAAGGAATGGTGCCCAAACCAATTGGACGGTCGGGGATTGAACGCCGACCTGCATGAAGCAAGATCGTCGCTCTACCGTCCTGGCCGCGTGGTTGTGGGAGGCTGCTACTGGCGCCGTCACTAATGCAACGCGTCAAACCAAGTTCCCGCCAAATGTGTCAAACATTCCTGTCATGCTTCGTCTTGAAACGGTTGTGGGCCTTTAATGTAAGGCGGTGTGGGCTGTGTGTGGTGTTGTGATCACAGGGTTGTGGCACTCATGGCAGTAACGTTGTTGTTGTGGTGGTTGTGACTATGGTGGTGGTTGTGGTAGTTGTCACTATGGTGGTGGTTGTGGTAGTTGTCACTATGGTGGTGGTTGTGGTAGTTGTCACTATGGTGGTAGTTGTCACTATGGTGGTGGTTGTGGTAGTTCTGTTGATGGGGGTGTTGTGGTAGTTGTGACAATGGTGGTGGTTGTGGTAGTTCTGTCGATGGTGTTATTGTGGTAGTTGTGACTATGGTGGTAGTGTGGGGGGGAGGGGGCCACCATTCCCAACATACGCTGGCAGTGTGAACATGTCCAGCTCAGTGTCGGGTCAGTCGTGTTGAGAGTGTGGTCGGGTGTGGACGAAGCCGCTCTGCTCCGTCATGCAGACTCTTCCCTGACCTTGCTCGAAGAGGTCCTCCCCCTCTCTAAACTGTTTTAGCTCGGGAACCAACTCTAGAAATACCTGATCAAAGTCTGCGAGTGACATTACATATTATAGCCTAAAAGTATGCAAATCCAAGCGCCGGGGATCATTTATAATGTAGATGGATCGAAGATCTTAAGGTGACCGGGGAGATTGCAAGGTTAGCCGCTGTTGGCAAAGCCGTCGGACCCTACTTGTCTGGCAAGCCTTTTTTTTTTTTTTGGCTAGTCGGAAATGTAAGGAGGAACGTTTTGCAGACCCGCTCCTGTAGGGAGTTATGTGTTTACTCTTAAACTGTTGACGATATGAATGTAAACTTTACGTGATAACTGAAACTAAACATTGCCAATGATTATGACAGATAGACTAGTAACAAACTTGTAAATATTAGTAGAAATAACATTTTGAGAAGCTCGAATAGATATATATTGGTAAGAGATTTCAACGCAGCATAGGAACCATTCCCTGTTAATATGATGAAGCAAGTGAAGAACCTTTTTCTTCGTTCTTATGACCTAAACGATGAGCCTTCATGGTCCGAAGAGTCCAGGAGGACGGATCCAGAAAGTCCCAGTCCTCCTTGGCCACCAGAACCTCGACGATCGGGAAGAAGCTGCCAGGCTGTGCACGTGGAGGACGACTGTGTCAGCGTCGCCTCCAGGAAGAGCACCAGGTCCTCCTCCAACAGCAGGGCTCCAGTAGATACTAGCGGGAAGACCACTGTCTCCTTGGTGAGTTTGTCTTATAAGGTAAAGGTTGCTCCGTCGTCCTGGTCAACATTATGGAGTTCTCTGAGGACCATAACTGATCACATAAGAACGTGTTTTACTTTGATTTATACCGCCGAAGCAGGTGTTTTCTCTTCCTACATCTACCAGTCTCTGGGGTAGCACTACGTGTTACACAGGTGTCTTCCGTAAGGCCCTAGCGGGAGATAGCCTATCTCCCGCTGGGAGATATGCTTTAAGGCCTATCTCCCGCTATGTTCATTAGGGCCGCAACCCGCTAGACTTTCTAAGCATCAAGATTTGCTGTCACTCAGAACAGATTTGGTTGGTAACTTGTTTTATTGTCAAGGAATACAATCTGTATTCCTTGTTAGTGTGGTGGAAACGCGAAATCGTTCTGAACTTTCGTTTAATTTTCAAAGTGAATACTTACGCATCACCGAATCACTTCTTTTTTGAAGTGATTCTTCAATCAATCACGTCTTTTTTGTGATTATATATATATATATATATATATATATATATATATATATATATATATATATATATATATATATATATATATATATATATATATATATATATATATATATATATATATATATATATATATATATAGACACACACACCACAATCAACATATTACTGGACATTCTGAGTGATAAAATGTTTTATAAACATTTATAAAACTAGCATCACACAGAAGAACAAGTGAACATTGACCTTACCGTTTAAATCTGAGAATCAACTTTGACATTAACTTACTATGAATGGGTCGCAGGTCTAGGCTGAACTTTAACCTATCAAGCATATATACTAAACTTGGTCAGAAGTACTTAATGACTTAAAGAAGTCTAGTTTTATTCTTTCTCCTCAACTCATTCTCAAGGTGTCCTAGTCCAAGCTGCACCCGACCTTAACTACACATTCGTTAACTATAACATACTGCGTAACCAATAACACTTTCTCGAGTGTAAATTAATATTATTATGCATTAGAGTTTGGTATATAATTAAGCCTAGATTAGGTTAGGTATTTAGGTTCTGTTTGGAATTATTGTTATATTTTACACGTGAATGAAGCATTTATAGAGGTGCGATTTAAACAGCGGACGTGAACAAAGTGAGTCCGAGAAAAGTGTGAGAATCATTAGTAGTGATTCGTGCACCCGCCAAACCCCTGTTTATGAATGAAATACACTTTACATACCAACCCGTCCTCGGACCAAGTCCATTCTATCCAGCGGTCGACCCCAAAGACGCATTCGTCAATTTTAACATTCTGTTCATTCAGAAAAACGGTTTCCACACGACTCACAACTGATGACGTTCGAACACTTCCGGAACAAGTGCTTCGCTGACGACTTTTGTTCGAACCACAACGTTGTAAATGCTTCACCCACGTACTACAAATACAAATAATCGCCAACAGAATCTAAACACCTGACCTAACCTATCCTATGCCTATATATACACAATTTGCCAATATATTATAATATTAATTTATATTTGAGAAAATTCCCGTTTTGAATGAACAGCATGTTAAAATTTATGAATGCGTCTGTGGGGTCGACCGCTGAATGTAATGGACTTGAGTCGAGGACGGGTTGCCTGAGGACGGGATGGTGTTAAGCGTTTTCCACTCATAAACAGAGGGTTTGGCGGCTGGATTAACGAGCCTTTGTGAGAACGGGCTGTCATATTATTGGTTACACAGTACGTTAAAATTGACGAGAGATGCTTATGTGCGGGCGGCCACAGACGAGACGAGCGGAGCCTGAGGCTGGGTTGATCTTATAGAATAGATACACGCTGGTGTTCCGGAGGGTTTCCAAACTTTCATTATTATAACGGACGTGGCTTGATCTGTGGGAAGAGTTGAGATTAATGTCTGCTTCAGCGGTGGCAAGTTGTTATACAGCTGGTGAGGGTGTGAGTGTAGCTCTGGAGACTGGTCGTGAGTGTAATACATAGGGTGTCATTGGTAGCACACCAGTGTTGCACATAAGGATATGGGTGAACCATATGAGATATGGTTCTAAGGCCGTTTAGAACGGCCTTAGAACCGCGTCCAGTTCAGAACGTAGGTTTAGAACGTGATTGTGTGGATGTGGCACGGGAGAATGAGGGTATGGGTGTAGCAGGAGAGGATGTGGGAGTATAACGGGAGGGTGTATGTGTGGGTGTAGCACGGGAGGGTGTGTGTGTGGGTGTAGCACGGGAGGGTGTGGGTGGAGGGAGACATGCCTGGCAAATCATGGCGTTGCTTGGGATTGTGGGTCCGCACTAATGTTACTCCCACTGTTATGATTATTGTCCGGTTTCTTGCTGGCAATGACCTGCTTCTCTCTGTCTCTGTCTCTCTCTCTCTCTCTCTCTCTCTCTCTCTCTCTCTCTCTCTCTCTCAAAACATGGAAAGTGTTATTAAATTGAACAGTTATTATTATTTTTACTAAGCTTTTGTCGTTCATATTATTATCATTAATTTTATTGGGACCTGACGAAGCTTCCGATGAATGCTCATTTGTCCTGGTTCCTGGGAGCTGTGGGGTTCCTGGGAGCTGTGGGGTTCCTGGGAGCTGTGGGGTTCCTGGGAGCTGTGGGGTTCCTGGGAGCTGTGGGGTTTCTGGGAGCTGTGATCAAGGGTTCGTGGGAAACATCCCCCCACTCTGAACACCACAAGGTCTGTGAATTAATGAAACTAGTTAATTTAGCTTCACCAAGAATAATTATCTGGTTAATCGGATCTACTAAAATATTTACTGTCCTTTACTGTCTATAGAATCTACAATTACTCCTATTTGGCGTCTCTGTTTGATATCTGAACAGCTGTATACAATTCTGCTATTAAAACACATCCTATGATTTAAATACTAACAATGGTTAGCAATGACATTATTCCTATCAAATTTTGTTACTCTTTCTATTGGGTACATATATTGGGTCCTTCGTTCACCTTCATTCAATCATTATGGCATTGTTGGAAGTTTCTCCAGTATTATTAATGTGTTTGCTAGCGCCATTTGTCGTGGAATAATAAGTTGCTGGACAGGTTTTTGGTATGTACTAAACTATGTTCATTGAGTTCGTACGGCAGTATCCAAAACAGATCAGTGTTTAAATTGTTTGGTTAAAAGTCAAAACAAAATGATCACAACAAACTCACTCCTAGAACATGACCACCTTATGACTGGTTCAGGGCTCGGGTGTCTGGTTCTAATTTGGATATAATGAGACCATTCAACCAGAATTATCATTGACTGGCTTGACAAGCTTTATTAGTGTGTGTGCTTTTGTTGGCATTTCCGTTGTTTATAACTTATATAGAACTGCACTGGAGCAGATGATGTGGACATCACCAGACAAAGTTGATTGCCCCTCACCGGCTAGTCGGCTCGCCCACCATACTGCCGCTCCTCGCACTTTTTAACAAATACTTAATTTCGAGCGGAGTGCAGATTTCAAGGGTAGAACTGCTGGGGAATATACGGAATAATTGTTTCTTTGGATCAAAGTCAGATGTAGTTGCTCCGTCACGCGACACGTAAATATAAAGTATTATATACCAGGGAGTGTGAATGTGGCTTGAAGCCATGGAGGGTTCCACGCCCACTCTTGCCGCCTGAGGAGCACCGCGTTCCACAAGCTGACTTCATCTTGTGGCTTGTTAAGTCCGGTGGTCACAAGCCGGGATTATTGTGGTAATGTCACCTTAGCTGACCTATTGAGGACATGATGTATACAATGAGTTTATAAGGTATTGCCGTTTTAGTCAGGATTATATAAATACACGAGAACACTAAGACTAAGACACTAGCCTCGCTTGGATAGAACAATGACTACACATTATTATTCCGCTTATGGAAATGTCATTGATATATTGAGCGCTCGAGAGTTATTAATGAGAGTACGGTATAGTATTTTCTGGCATGTGTTCAATAACGAGATGCAGCAGTGTGTAAACTGTGCGTCAGTTTAAAAAAAATATAATTCGGTCTATTACCTCAGCGCAGTCACCTGCCTTGCTGCTACCTTGCGTTGCTTCTGGGGATCAATGTCCCAGCGGCTCGGTCTCTGATATCTCCTGGTTGGTAGTCTGGTCAAGCAGACTGTTGGACGCAGTCTGCCGTTTTGAATCACAGTCTGGTTGCTCAAGTTCTCTTTTGAACAGAGTGAGAGATCGGCCAGTTATGCCCCTTATGCGTAGGGAGTGTTGGAAACTTTTGCGCCTTTGATGTTGATAGAGTTCTCTCTCCGCGTATCTATTGCACCTCTTTTCAAAAGGGCTATTTTTCACTTCCTATCATGCCTCCTGGTTTCATGTGGTGTTATTTATGTGTGTATATTTGGAACCAGTCCCTCTCAATATTTCTTGGAGTAAAATTGTCTATCTCCCTCGTCTGCGTTTTAACGAACACAAATTTAACAATGTTATGCAGTCCCAATAATTCAGATATTTTATAGAGTGAATTTTAGCAGTAAATGATCATTTCACACTCTCCAGGTCAGCACGTTCTCCGGCTTTGAACTGTTATTGTGCAACAATATTCCACCCACTCAAGACCACTTGACAAGTATCATCATTGTTGTGACATCTCTTACCTGAAAGGGTCTTGTCATCCAACCTGACATTTTTTTGCAGTTATGACAACTAATGTATTTTTTTTAGTAAGGTCTTCCAACATAATTACTCTCAGAATTTTTATATCGCTTTCTCGTTTTATAGTGTGATTTGAGTGTTTTATATGTAGTTTCAGTTTTTATATTTGCGTGTTTTCCATAGCGTAGGAGCTGGAACTTATTTTCTGTAAACATCATTGCCATACAGGGCAAATGAAAGGAAAATACTTATGCCTGAACTTTACAAATGCAAATATTACATTAGTTAAATATAAATACTGCAGTATTACAAGATAGTATTAGGCTACAGGCCTAATGTACAGGCCTTCACCATAGCAGAAACTGCAAAGTTGTTCATATGTAAGGCGATGAATCACAATAACG